TTTGGGTATATATCCATGAGTGGGGGTGGGGACATCAGTATCTCGAAGAGATAGCTGCACTCCCATACTTATTGCAGCATTATTCACAATAGCAAAGATACCGAAGCAACCTAAGTGACTGTCAACAGATGAATGGATAAAACAATACGTGAGAGAGACATACATCCAATGGAATAGTATTCAACCTTAAAAAAAAAGAAGGAAGTCCTGCCATTTGCAACAACTTGGATGAATCTAAAGGACGTTATGCTAAGTGAACTATCCCAGCCACAGAAATACAAATGCCACATGAAATCTTAAAAGGTTGAACTCACAGAAACAGAGAGTAGAATGGTGGTTGCCAGGGGTTGGGGAGGGAGTGGGGGGAGAGAGAAGATACTGATCATAGGGTATAAACTTTAGTTATTAATATAAGATAAGTAAGTACTGGAGAATATACAGCGTGGGGATATAGCTAATAGTAATGGATTATATACTCGAAATTTGCCGAGAGTAGATCTCAACTAAGTTCACCACACACACACACACACACACACACACACACACACACACAGGTGACTATGTAACATGATGCATATGTTAAATAGCTTGATCATGGTAGTCATTTAATAATCTATACATATATGAAAACATCACATACTCCCTAAATATATACAATTTTTATTTGTCAATCATACCTCAATAAAGCTTAAAAAATCCCAATTGGTGGACCCGACACTTGCATCAACCACTCGTTCGTGTGTGTGTGTGGCGGGGGGGAGGGGGGTGTCTTTGACAAGTTACTTGAACTTTGTCTCAGAACCTCACCAGTAAAATGGGAACTAAATATTGTTCTTGTGCCATGATATTATTCCCTGAATTGATGCCAACAATGTGCTAGAGCCTCTGGCACAAGCCCACCACTCAGCCATGGTAGGGAATAACAGTGGAGGGAGCAGCAGGCTCTCAATGACACCCATTACCACTTGGCAGATTTTTTACTTTTCAAGCAGTTGGTCATCATGCAGCCTCAGCTGGCCTGTCTCTTTGTTAGAAGGCTGCCCTCTGACAGGAGAGAGGCCAGCTGAGACTATATAATAACAGGACTCGTGCTTCTGAGCCAAGTGTATCCTAAAGTCTGCTCATTCTTAACGTGAATGAAGATACTTCTTTCCTATATGAATAGAAATGCCTTGGGTGGGAAATTCAGAAAGCACAGAACAGTATGAAGTCACTCATAATCCTGCCAAAGTAACCCTTATTAACAGCTTGTCATATTTTCAAGAGTTTTTCTGTAAAGTTTTTAAACAAAATTAGGGCCACAATATCCCTGCATTTGTCCTCCTCCTTTCCCACTTAACATTTAATTATATGTATTTTCCCCATCTGTAAACATTCTTTATAAAAACCACTTTACTGCTGAACAACAATCCATCTTATGCATAGATGTTATGCTTAGTTCTTCCCTCATGCCGTCAGACTACTTTTCAGTGTAATAAATAATACTTAGATGAACATATTTGCACATATATCTGCAATTGTATCATTTTTTTAGAGAAGGAATTGCATGCCCAAATAGTACAAGCAATTTCAAAGTTACTGGCGTGTATTGTCAAGTAGCTTTTCAGATAAGATTGTTCCAATTTAAACTCCACTAGAAGGAGGGTGTTGGTCAGTATGTCTATCTCATCCCCTCAGCCCCCACTACCCCCACTCTCCCAGAGTAAAAAAAAAAAAAAAAAAAAAGCTAAACTAATATGCAAGATAGGGACTGGTTGCTCTTTGAAGGTGAATTTCTGAAATTCATTTGGAGAGAGGTCGAAGGACTGATGTTTACTATGGTTAACTGTGGGATTAGGTCTTCCCACAGAAGATAGGAGTAGAAAAATCATTCAAATATGGGAGAAAAAGATACAACTGTAACAGAAGCAAAACTCATGACTTTTCTGAGCTTTCAAAAAAATTTTAAATGTGTATCTTATCCAAATATGACCTCCTCCCATGCAACAATTGGTCACAGTTTTGACCTAATGCTTCAAAATCTGTGCTTTGAAACTCATTTTCACATGCATGAAGTTGGTGGTGGTGGAGAAGGTAAATTAGTCTCTCAGTTTCATTAAGACTCCTTGCAAAAGTAGATTTGCAACAAATCGAGCCAAGGATTCGGCTTGTGTGTTTATTTTTCTACCACAATCAATAGTGTTTGGTCTGCTTAACGTTGCACAGATTGTAAATGCTGAGCCTTCCTTCCGTAAGAGGAGTGTCTGTTGAGAGCCATTTAATTTTAAAGAAAGTTAACTTTTTTTTTTTTCAAAATTCAATGTGATGTTGTGAAAATATACTTTTCATGGTTATTACAGTACTTGCACGTGACAGAATTCCTCCCCTGTGATAACTATAACCACATGCAAGTTTGTTAACAGAATCCGTGGGGAGTGTTACCAACCAATGCTGAGCCATCCCAGACCTGTGCCGGTCCTCAGAACTGGGAGGGAAACAGTAATTGGGGAGAAACAAAAGGGATTCTGATCACCAGCCACTAACCTAGAAACACATTAAACACACTTTTATTCAAACATTTTTGACTGAATATATTTTTATATTAAGTCAAACTATTTATATTGTTAACTAAATTCTATCTCAAATTGGCAGATGCAGTTGCATTTTTAGAAATAGTCCAGAGAAGGGCCAGGCGCAGTGGCACACACCTGTAATCCCAGCACTTTGGGAGGCCGAGGGGGGCGGATCATGAGGTCAGGAAATCGAGAGCATCCTGCCAGGATGGTGAAACCCCATCTCTGCTAAAAATCAGAAAGTAGCTGGGCGTAGTGGTACACGTCTGTAACCCCAGCTACTCGGGGGGCTGAGGCAGGAGAACTGCTTGAACCAGGGAGGTGGAGGTTGCAGTGAGCCGAGATCGCGCCACTGTGCTCCAGCCTGGTGACAGAGTGAGACTCCGTCTCAGAAAAAGAAAAAAAAGAAATAGTCCAGAGAAGATAGCAGAGTAGATTATTCTAATTCTTGATACAGTGTCTTGGGCAACTTCGTATTCCCTCCTGGACATCAGTCAGCGTCCTCCCACTTCCCATTCCCTGCTCCTCCCACCTTCACATAGATTCACACGTGCAGCACCTGCTCATGGCCTGGTACTAATACTGTTTCTCTAATATTGGGTAATTGGTAGACCCTTTTTTTAAAAATTATATCTTTAAATCATTATTGGACTTTTTTAATCTAAGCTTTCTTGTTTTACTCCATGTTCTCTCAATTTGCATAAACAATACACAGCAGTTAGAATGGAAAAGAAAGCTCGTTGATGTAATTTTTCTTTAGTTTTGATGAAATATAAAAATATGCCTGAGTCAGGCCTGGTGCAGTGGCTAACACCTGTAATCCCAGCACTTTGGGAGGCTGAGGCAGGTGGATCACCTGAGATCAGGAGTTCAAGACCAGCCTGACCAACATGACAAAACCCTATCTCTACAAAAACACAAGAATTAGCCAGGCATGGTGGCATATGCCTGTAGTCCCAGCTACTTGGGAGGCTGAACTCAGGAAGTGGAAGATTGCAGTGAGCCAAGATTATGCCACAGAATTCGAGCCTCAAAGACAGAGCAAGACACACTCTCACTCTCTCCCTCCCTCCCTCCCTCCCTCCCTCTCTCTCTCTCTCTCTCTCTCTCTCTCTCTGTGTGTGTGTGTGTGTGTGTGTGTGTGTGTGTGTGTGTGTGTATGAGTCAGCCATTCCCTGTTTATTTTGTTGATTTGGATTTTTTTGAAACAGAGGAGTCTTGCTCTGTTGCCAGGCTGGAGTGTAGTGGTGTGATCTCGGCTCACTTTTTTTTTCCCCAGACAGAATCTTGCTCTGTCACTCAGGCTGGAGTAGTGTTGTAATCTCTGCTTACTACAACCTCTGCCTCCCAGGTTCAAACAATTCTTGTTCCTCAGCCTCCTGAGTAGCTGGGACTACAGATGTGCACCACCACTTCTTGCTAATTTTTAAGAGATGGGGTTTTACCATGTTGGCCAGGCTGGTCTCAAACACCTGTCCTCAAGCCATTAGCCTACCTCAGCTTTCCAAAGTGCTGGGATTACAGATGTGAGCCACTGCACCTGGCCTGTTTTGTTGATTTGTTTTTTAATTTCAATTTTTAAAGTTTCTGGTAAAAGATGATAACATTTGAATTCTAATTTTCTGTCAACTCTGCTGCCAAAAAAAAAGGTAGGAATGAAATCATTCTCAGCAAAATAATCTCTTATAATTAAAAGCTTAAAAGTATTAAGTGCACTTTAGGTCTTTATTAGTTCTTTGAAACTAAAATTGTATATCAGAAAAAATAATTAAAATTTTTCTCATTAATGACCAAATATTTATTTCAGAATCATAATATCAAACCCACAGGAGCACACAAATGACTCAGAAAAACATTACTTGGTCTCTTTTAGAAAATAAAAGTATCTTCTTCAGGGCAATAAATCTGTTATTCTATGTCACTTTCAGAAGGGAGATCACATGTTTTCTTATTGATTTTACTTCCTATTTGGTAGCAGACTAATGTGAGATGAGGCAGTGAACATTCCTGGCGACAAGCCCAGATGTGAAAAAATATGTGTCAGGACATTTTCTGAATTCCATCTTTTTTCCAAAGATATCCTTGCAGATGAGTGGTCTTTGCCCTACACCAGGGACACAATCACATGGCTGTACTTTAAGAGGATGTTTTCTGGCAACCCATTACCTGTAAACACAAGCCTGTTGGATTGTAGGTGTGTGCTCGAAATTCCCTGGCAGTCCTATTGCACCGCTAGGTGGCTTCAGCCAGTGGTTCCCAGAAATTTGCCACCAGAACATAAACAGGCCACAAGCAGAGCCATGCTCCTGTTTGCCCTTGTTTTTACAAACAGATATGGAAAAGGGTCACTTTCTTTTTGTGAAGGTGGGTGGAGTGGAGAAGGAATTTGGAAGAAGGACACTCTGGTTAGATTGACCTGAAATGATTTTGAACATCCCTGTTCCTCAGGCAACATCAGGAATACCGAGAAGCTGAGCTATGACAAACAACACCAGTATGAGATCCTGGTGACCGCCTATGACTGTGGACAGAAGCCCGCTGCTCAGGACACCCTGGTGCAGGTGGACGTGAAGCCAGTTTGCAAGCCTGGCTGGCAAGGTAGGCCTGTTTTATCAGTCCTGTGTGAAGGCAGCATGGTCTGGTGTACAGATGGTGCCATACATGTCCTCAAATCATCACAACACACAACTTTTATATATATATATAATTGCACTTTAGGTTCTGGGGTACATGTGCAAAACATGCATGATTGTTGCATAGGTACATACATGGCAAGGTGGTTTGCTGCCTCCATCCCCCTCCATCACCCATATCTGGCATTTCTACCCAAGTTATCCCTCCCCAACCTCCCCACCCACCTCTGTCCCTCCCTTAGCACCCCCAACAGAGCCCAGTGTGTGATGCTCCCCTCCCTGTGTCCATATGTTCTCATTGTTCATCACCCGCCTATGAGTGAGAACATGTAGTGTTTGATTTTCTGTTCTTGCGTCAGTTTGCTGAGAATGATGGTTTCCAGGTTCATCCATGTCCCTACAAAGGACACAAACTCATCGTTTTTTATGGCTGCATAGAATTCCATGGTGTATATGTGCCACATTTTTCTTGTCCAGTCTATCATCAATGGGCATTTGGGTTGGTTCCAGGTCTTTGCTATTGTAAACAGTGCCACAACGAACATACAGGTCCAACGCATAACTTTTTTAAGTACACTCACTTTGCTGTAAGAAACAAAGTTGCTTGCTTATTCTCCCAACTCTTAGGTGATATATTATCCCCATTTTTCTGCTGAGAATGTCAGAGACATCTCCTCTAACCTCATGTGCCCAGTTTGTCCAGTGCTCCCTTTTTTCAAATCTCATGACATCTTTGATGGATAGTAATTATCTCACAGCATGTAGGAGAAATTGCCAGCAAGCCTATTCACTTTACCCTAGGGTGCTGGGTCTAGCTGATGCATTTCAAGTTTTGCATCACTGATCAACACCTGGGGAAAGTCATCATGTTCTTTGTGCTCACACAGAGTGTACACAGGCAGAAGTGGGAGACCCAGAATCCAGCCTCTGGATTAGGGAGTATATGAAATGTTGCCTCTGGGAATGAAGAAGCAATGGCTTTGGATGGAGGTTCATTTTTGCGTCAGTTTAGATCTTTTGGAATGCAAAGAAAAGTAAATGCTTAGGTCACTCTTAGATAGTAGGATGCTCTAGTACTGAACTGAGAGCAAGTATGAAAGGTGAGGACAGCTGCATAGATGAACCTTACAAAGAGTTGAGTGATTTGTGGAATAATAATAGCTCTAGTGGTGATGCCAATAGATCTGGTGGCTGAGCAGGGATTCTCGAGTTATCTCTGCACCACTGTTTTGGTTGCCCGATGATTCCCTGTCTCTACTTCATTTTTGAAGATGCTGCAGGCTATTACTTACTCATAACTCATAAAGTGCTTCATTTCTGTGTACTGCCTTTCTTAGTGTATCTTTAAGCTTCTGCCTCCCTGTTATTTTTCTCTTTCTTTCTCTTTCTCTGTCTGGTATCTTTAATTCTTAAATTCCCTAGAGAGTCTGTGTTAGTCACTCACATCCCTGTTGTGAAGACTGATGCCAGACCACCCTATAAATCCCTGGTCACTCTTTGAATGACTACCTTCTAGTCAGTTATTCTTTTCTAATTCAATTCATCAGGGTCAGATTGGCAGGACATCAGTCTGAGAAACTACCTTCTGAGGGGCATCACTCCCCTCAGAAGGCAGTTCTCAAAGCACTCCTCCCTTGCACAACTTGATCTCCCTTAAACTTAAAACTGAAAAGATTGGAAGGGGTAATTTAACCCGCCTCTGGAGAGAGCCAGAGTGGTTTGCCTTTGAACGAAGTAGAAAAGATGAAATGCTCAGTAGAGGAACCACAGGTAAGGCACATGAGAGTTAAAAGAACAAAGCAGAGTCATCTTTGTGTCAGTCTGTTTAGGATCAAGGAAGAGACATAGAAAGAAGGATAAGCCAGAGTGGGAAACTTTGTTTTCCCAACCTCAGGGAGCCTGAGCTCTGATTGGGTATAATTCACTGGACCCGAGGACCCTGCAGACAGAATTCTGTCTTGTTCACCACTGAATTTCTCAAGCTTAGCACAGTGTCCAGTGCCAATTGTAGGTGCTCAAGAAATAGTCATTGAATGAATGAACGAATGAACAAATGAATGAATAAATGAAAAGTTATCTGAGTAAAGAAGAACTCGCCTTGTTTTTGACTCAAGGCGATTAGCTCCAGTGAAGGTGTGTCCCTTGTAAAGAAAACCTGGAAAATCTATATAAACTCTCTATGCATGGAATATGTTCACAGTGAGCATTTAAGAGGGAAAAGCAAAGAGCACAGCTGTGTCGGGAGAGCAGTCCCAGCACTTCTTTGACTTTGACGAATGAGGCACCTGTAGATTTGTGATTACAGTTGATTCCTGTATTTAAATGTAATTTCCTAACAGAATCTGTACTTATTAAATGTATGCAAGGGAAAACCTGGTCACAATGTTTAACTCTACGTGTGAAGAATGTATTGAGCACCGCACGATAGTGCACACGGCTGTTTGCAGCTCCAGACGGTGAGTTGCTGTAGGGCAAAGCTGGTGCCCATTTGCTGTTTTGTTTCCAGTGCCCAGCACAGAACCAGACATGATGCAGGCACTTAGCAAGTGTTTAACAATGGAGGAGTGGTCAGCAAAACTTTGGTTAAAGAAAAAATGTATCTTTGTGGAACAAAGAAAAGAAGGAAGAGGCAATTCCCTACATCCACTACTAGTGTCGGGCAAAGTGATTTAAACAAGTGTAACATCAGAATCAACTACTTCATGGTGGCTTGCCTGCCTTAGCTGCCAGCCTGTGGTGGCAGAAGCCGACAACGAGTTCTTCATCCTTACACTTCTCCCTCCCACTTTCCCCTTGCAATTCCTTCCTTCCTAAACTGAAATGAGTTAGAACAGGTACAAGAATTCAAACTGCCAATCTGTGTTTGGCATCCAGAGCCGGAGTCTGGGATGTCGTCTCTCTCAGTCACTGCCCAGTAGGCTTCCAGATCGTAGACAGGCCCTCCAGGCTCTCTGATAGGTATAGCAGGTCACAGTGCCTTTCTACATTCCTGTTCCAGCCCTCAGTCCTAGAGGGGAACCTCCTGTCCTCCTCCCAGCCTACTAATTCACTTCATTCCTCCACTTGGACAACCCTCAACTCTTACTCACTCATCTTGGGGCCTATTCTCTCTTAATATGCTTGGTCAGGGCTCCAGCCTCTTAGCTGGAAGTACACCTTTCTCCAGGGACAAACTGACCACAGCTGGTCTGAGTTGTGTGTCTCTTGTCTGCCCCTTCTCCCAGCTGTGTGGAGCAGACTGGAATGAACCATGTTTACTGACTTGCTTGCTACTTGCAGATCATTCAGACTGCCCCTTACTGTGAAAGCGCATCAGGTGCCTTGGAGAAAAGGGTTGGCTTTTCTTGGAGCTGGTATAGGGTTGCACTTTGTAAATAGATAAGGAACACAGAGAGGGGAGGACATTCAGGGGACCAATGAAGAAACAAGGAGAGTGGTCTGGCTTGCATAAACAGCTGTGCCTGGAGAGATGTGGAAAGCAAGATTAGAGAGGCCTGTGGTAGGGGAGGGTGGGTGGCTGAGGTTTTGAGGTCAGGGTGAGGAGCTGCACTGAGCCTCAATTCCCTCAGATCCAGCTGAGAAGGGGCTGTGTGCATTTGCCAGACATAATTCTACTTTATTCACTGGGAGAACAGAGGCCCCTCCCAAACTGACTTCTCACAAGCAACTGGAGTAACCAAGCAAATGCACTTTGGCAGTTTGAATTCTGGTACCTGTTCTAAACCATTTCCTTTCAAGCAGGAGGGGATTGCAGCACAGTGAATGCAATCCATTACATGCAAGAGCTCCCGTTTCTCCCAAGCACTCTCAATCCGCATGTCACCCAGTTCTTACTGCAGCCAGCTTCTTCCAGGGAGTTTTCTCAGAGCAAGGGACCCTGCCCACAGCTGGAACCTCTCCTTCCTTCTCAGGCCATCTCAGACCCCAGCTCTTTTGCCATCTGTCTTTCAGACCTTGGCTAAAGCATTATCTACCATGGCTATGGTTTTCTAATTCCTGTATTTTCTCTGTGGGTTGGTCTTCTCAAAAGGATATAGGCTTCCTTAGGGCAGAACCACACTTCTTGCAGCCCATGGCACTGAACTTTCCATCCATCACCTAAGCATGAACTAAAAGTGTGTTTGCTAGCATCACTTACCAATGGGCAGGGTGGGGCTTATTGAGGATTAGGCTTGCAGCAAGGGGAGGAAGGAAGACTTTGCCTCCAGAAAATAAGCCCAGGATGCCAGGCACATACATCTTGCTTTTATGTGAGCTTTGTCTTCTCTGCTGTATTCTGAGGTTGTAATTCTGAACAGGTGATAATGGTCAGCTCACTCTGTAGTGAGGTGGAACTCTGCTGAAGGGAACACTCCCATTCTCACTTGGCAGGGAAGAGGATGGCTCAAAGCATAAGTCAGACCTGTGTGAGTGGAAGGGAGAACTACTTCTCTTTGTTTTGTCCTGAGTTTTGAGAACTCACAGTGTGCTTAGAAGCAGCTCTAGTTTTCAGGGATGAAAACTTATATTAGGAACTAGGAAAGTGGTGCACCTGTAGCAGGACACCTAAAGACAGGCTAGCATCCTGCCTCTCATGCCAAGTGTTTGAATTTGCAGCCTTTCTTTTTCATTTAATATAATTTTAAGTTCTGGGATACATATGTAGGACATGCAGGTCTATTGCATAGGTAAATGTGTGCCACGGTGGTTTGCTGCACCTTTCAACCCATCACCTAGGAATTAAGCCCCACATGCATTAGCTGTTTATCCTGATGCTCTCCCTCCTCCCTACCACCTGACAGGCCCCAGTGTGTGTTGTTCCCCTCCCAGCGTCCATGTTCTCACTTTTGAGCTCCCACTTATAAGTAAGAACATACTGTGTTTGGTTTTCTGTTCCTGTATTAGTTTGCTGAGGATAATAGCTTCCAGCTCTGTCCAGGTCCCTTCAAAGGACATGATCTTGTTCCTTTATTTGGGTGCATAGTA